GTATTTTACTTTATACTACATTCATTTGTATGTTTTATGAAAGCGATAAAATAAACAACGTATAAATAATGCTTTCAAAACGTGCTACATGAAATAAATGTACATTATATATATTTGAATTAAATGAGAGTTGCACTGTTACGTATAGTCCTGAGACGGACTGTTTTTGATGTTGTTGACTGACGTTTCGACAACCTTAGCGGTAGTCATCTTCAGAGTCAAAATGAATGTATAATCTTGTCATTGAACCAATGACTTACGAGCGATTAACAAGCTTGGATCATCAGCCAATTTACAATACAGGATTGAAGAGGAAACCGCTTAGATAGTTTAGCACAGACATCTTAGCAGTGCTTTTTAATGAACAAATTTACAGCTACTTTATTTAATATAATGTGTAATCACCCTATACAACAAATCAATTTCATGGCCATAATCACTGTATGTATAATGTATGTAAATAAGATCATCAGCAAATACGATAAAGGTAAGTTATTTTTTCAGGCTTATTACATTGCCTTCTCATATTCCCCTTTTTATGATAATGCAACAGTTTTTAAATATTATCTTTTTTTGTAGATTTCTACATCTGGGTTATTAATTGAAGAATCAAGAACAGACTTTCAAAATACTACGATTTACGCTTTCAATAATGGAAATGCTATGAATAATGACTGCAACGACTGTACCATTCAAGTTTGTATGTGTATAAAAGTGAGTCCTCGCTAAAACAACTGAGTAACATGAATCCAGGTGAAAACATATGATATACTAACAAAGAAGCACAGGGAGACTTAAGAGATACATATATGACACCATATAACGATTTGTATTGATGGATGTGTTGATCTTGTGCTGTTATAAACAAGAATGAAATTTGAAAATTTCATTTAAGCTCGGTTAACATGATTTAATTGTTATTGGCGAGTTCTAAATGACAATATGCAAATTTTGTAAATGAGCTTTGAAAACTGTTCATCCAATTATTCCATTTTGAAATTAGCATAATTATACGTACATACAGTGTTACTTCTTGCATCTACTTCTATAAATTGATTTATATGACAATTTGAAAATAAAAGATGACACAATTAGCTTGTCTTTATGCAATGACAAAGTATACAGTTGTTGCGGTTTCTTGCTGTATTTTTATTTTTACCATTCATTATATTGTTTATGGCAGATGATAAATGATGGAAAACACGCAATAGCAGTTTCCAAACTGTTTTACCTTACTTGGTGGAGGGGCAGCACTTCCCTTGCGATAGTAACTCCTAGTTATAATATATTTTGTACTTCATTGAACTCTGAGAAGTGAGCTCTGATCTCAATAAGAACTGATGTGATACCACAACATTCGTTCGGTGAAGCTCTCTGCATTATTATCACGTGACTTGTAAGGAGCTCGGGGAACAAAATATTGTGGTTACAATTGGCAATAATCCATCACAAACTAATAACTATCCAGCGAGCTCTAATATCACTTTGATTTGCCTGCATGATACCTGCCTCAACTCGTGAATGTCCAACTACCCGAGATCACGGATCGTACGTTCAGTTTACAGGATTGTCAGAGTCCTAATAAAGAGGTATTTGTTACGTATAATTAGTAATTGTTCATTTGTTTGGTACCTCTAGAGAAACATAAATGTTTTGTAACTTTAATGAAAAATTTTTCTGTATACATAAATGAGGAGAACGAAAATTGTCATGTTAAGGATGTCAAATATAGATTGGTAAATACAAATATGTTTTGTGTTATCTGTTTCATTTTCTGCAACGCATCTATGTATGTTACCATGTTTGTTATATTTAGTTCCACGTACGAAGTCCTTAAGATCTGAAACTTTCGTATTTCATTGAGAGACAATAAAAATCGTTTGTTTGATAAATTTACGTCACTTAAAATTATTTGGACAAGCAGCAGCTATGATATGGCTTCATTTGATCGCAGTAATGAAACTGACACTGAAATGACCTATGAAGAAGATATGTTTGGGCCGTACATGAAAATGATTTGTAAGTGATAAACATTCGTGTGATGCTTAAATTATGCGAATATTAAACAACATGAACATAATATATTTTATGAATAATTAATGTCATTAAGTATTACCAAGAAAAATTCCAGATAAATTCACCAGCATATTAATATGAATTGCTAATTTTTGCGACACAATTCTGCAATCCAGCTAATCTTACGACGGTTTTTCCTTCTATATTACTGAATTTTTTTGTTATTGGAATTATTGAAATTAGTGGAAATGACGATCTTTTTCGAAACAATTTTAGCCAATAGTACGAAACTTCCATCGTTCACAACGAACATCACGAAGGTCGAAGTTGAAAACGAGTCTCGCAAGGGAAAGATTCTCTGTAACGTGTTCAGTGTTGAGGACAACGACTACTGGTTCACACGAGAAGGGAAACGCATAACGAATTGCAAAAAATATCGTTACAAGAAGAATAGATGTCTGAGAATAAAAAAGATCACATGGCTGACGCTGGGTGAATATGTTTGCTGGGCAAGAAACAAGGCGGGAGAAGTGAGCAGAATAATAAACGTTGTTGTCGTGGGTAAGTGATTAAATGCCTTCGATCCTTGATCACGACAATGCTATACCTTCAACTTTCTTTTGATTTGTATTTTCTGGTTTTCTTTTTGACAAAGTTCTGGCAAAGACTTGTAGTTTGTGCTTTCCTGTTTTCCTATTATGTTTTTTTTTTTTCAGACTCACGTGTAGACAAGATCACTAAAGGTAAGTGCCAAAAACATTCATTGCCACTATTTAATAACAACTTAGACTGTTACAGCTGAAGCTGCCGAGAGTCTTCTGATTTTCTGTGGCCTTAGCGACTTAGCCTGATTGTAAAATCAGTTTTTCTTAGGATTGGAGAATAGAAATGTTGTAAAATTGCTTATATTTCGTGTGCAAAAAGGGCAATCCTATAATATCGAGTATTCAGAATCTGGAGTGGCTATCATAACGACATACCTCTCTTTTGTTGACATTCATTGCTCTCTCTAAATGTTCATAGATTTTGCACCCGTTTTTCTATTTCCGCATTTGATAAAAAAGAAACACAAGTACTTTCCTGTTGGAAAACGGTTTTCAATGAACTGTGAAGCTAATGGACGACCTTCACCAAAGGTGCAATGGTACAAAAACGGTCAACTTATGTCGTAGATGCCGGATGGAAAAAACCCTCTAGCGAGCGATACACAAGTATTAATATTTCACGATGTAAATCCAAAAGACGACGGATCTTACCGTTGTTTTTTATGGAACAGAGTGGGAAATATCTCTACAACATACAAAGTACTAGCAAAAAGTAGTTACTAAAAAAAGGTTGGTTTTATGCTTTTCCTTTCAGATAGGCCGTGGCCATGAAACCAAATTGTTTTGTTTCGTGATACACAAAAATATCACTTTTCCGTGATACACATCATTACCATTACACAATAGGGAGTTTTAGCAGAGCCAACGAGTACGACTACGAGTACGATTTACGTCATTTTGGCGCGAAAACATTGTTGCGACAACAAAAACACGTAGACGTCATCAATCTGAGTACGATGTTTTGTAAAATTCGTAGTCGCACTATGATGTCTTTTTAAGCAAAGTAGGTATATTTCTTCATTGTGTAAGAAATTAGTTTACAGTACTATTTTCGAGCATCCGGCTTTAATTTAGAACCCTTTTGAGCGTAGATGTATATTAAAAGGAAAATATGACCTGCAAACTTTCATGTATTTCGTTCGCAAAGTGAAAGGTAAACAAACAATAAAATAGTGCAAATATATCGTACATAAAACTTAAAATAGAGATTTTTCAGTCTAAAGAGTCCTATATTCTCGCAAAACCAGTATCATCGATTCTTTGATATCATTATTGTCAAATGAGCGTAGCTGCTTCGCAAACGTCGGTGTTTTACACAATAAAAAGGCTCGTTCTGTTGTCTACAACTAAAGCAAAATTTTGACGAAGCGACAACGACAACAAACTTCCTCGTGCCATTCCCTTACACGGTCAAATTTCGTACTCGTAGTCGTAGTCGTACTCTTGCTAAAACTCCCTAACACCATCAAACAACAAGGCCAACGTTAAAACTTTGGACGTAAATGAATATACTATATCACAAATACAATAGTTCATCTTTTCAAAATACCATCAAACGGCAAAGCCAACGTTAAAACGTAGGATGTAAATGAATACATTATATCACATAAAAAAATTCACCTTTTCACAATACCAACCAGCTCCAAGGCCAGTATTGTCATGTCCAATGATTATGTGATGAAATGGACTTAAGAAATCAGCTGTTTCCACTTGAAATATATCAGTTCTTCCTCGATCAAAATTATTATCATTATCATTTCTTAACACCAGTCTTCCACTAGTAGACGCACTCCTTACATCACCAGTAGTCACGTGAACTTCACAAGGTACACCTAGCAATAATATAAACCGTTACACATCTTTAAGGAAAGATAGTAATACCCTCGTAGAACCAAATAGCAAGATGTGACTGGCGATATGCATATTACCCTGATATGACGATGTACCTGGAGTGATCTGACTATCGTCTTCATTCTTTGCAAGCCAGGGGTAACACGGGAATACATGTACCTTACCACGAGCTTCGTCTTCCACTGTTACCTGAGGACATAAAAAGTCACAAGTGAAGGATAAGGAAAAGTCGGAAATTGTAAAAACAATACAAAGCATTGTGACATGGTAAAAAACAATGAAAATATTTTGTCCACTAACCTTCTCCAAGAACCACGCTGGTCCAAGACCTTTATTGTCATGACCAATGCGCACTTTTTTTAATTCTCCCAGATCGATGGCATCAAAGCGAAAGGCATCCATCCTTTAACATACGTCAAAAACTCTAAATTACTGTGGAAGCATCATAAAACGATAAAAACGCAAATATACCTTCCTCTCTCAAAGTTATTTCGAGAATTATTCAATACATGTTCTCCTGTATCCCCATTAGTACCAAAAATAGTAATAGTTACATTGGCATCAGTCCCAGACCCCCGCACGTTTCCAGTGTAAGTACAAATCTTGTATTTAAAATCTAAAATAGATTGTACATAAATAAAATAAAAACGTTACCAAGTAAAAATGCAACATTTAAGTTTACTTTTTCTTGTATCTGTTGACTTCTTAGTTGCAATCAATTGTCGACGTATTTGTCCATCGCCTTCATCTTTATCCAACCATTGATTACAAAGAAAATAAGTGACATATCCATTAACTAACTCAGTTATCCTTATCTTAGTAAAGAATAAATACAGATCAATCATCATATTTATAAAACGATAAAAATTCAATCAAATTAATAACGTAACAATGTACTTTATTTAGATACCATCCAGGACCAAATCCTGTGTTGTCATGTTCTACACTGTAGCAATAATATATCAATCACTAAGACTAATTTCTTCACTTTAGTTTTAAAAACGTTTAAATCAATTGTCTTACATCATTTTCCTTAACTTTCCAAGATTTGTCGACTTTATCTTGAAGCGATCAGTTTTTCCTCTTTCAAAATTATCTTTGTCTCTAACATTTGTAAAGGATGTAATTACACATACGTTCGTTTCACTTCTCCAACATCAAACATTGTTCGTTCATAGATTTTTTAAAAAGTTAAAAAAACATGCTGACCTGTTTCGTTGGCGCCAAATAGAGTCATGTAAACCTTGGCATCAGTTCCTCCACCACGGACATCTCCAGTCTCTACACTGACTTCATATACTAAAAACAATAAAATCTTAGCACCAGTCCCCTTACCACGGACATCTACAGTCTCTACACTGACTTCATATACTAAAAACAATAAAATCTTAGCACCAGTCCCCTTACCACCGACATCTCCAGTCTCTACACTGACTTCATATAGTAAAAACAATAAAATCTTAGCACCAGTCCCCTTACCACGGACATCTCCAGTCTCTACACGGACTTTATATACTAAAAACAATAAAATCTCAGCACGAATCCCCTAACCACTAAAAACAACAAAATCTTAGCACCAGTCCCCTTACCACGGACATCTCCAGTCTCTAAACTGACTTCATATACTAAAACTAGAACCTTAGTACCAGTCCCCCCACCACAGACATCCCCAGTCTCTATACAAATTTCATATAATAAAAACAATCAAATCTTAGCATCGGTACGAAAACCAAAGAAATCATTAGACATGGTTACACTCAACTAATTAATCTTAAACTTAAATCAAAAGAATATCAATGAAGAATGTACAAACCAGTTTTTACAGGTTTTGAAGTGCCACTGTTAGCTTGCAATTGACGCTTAATTTGACAATCACTCTCAAACAACGACAGCCATTGAAAACACGGAAAACTCCAGACTTTCTTGTTTTGCATGTTCTTCACCAAAACTTCAGAAAGAAACCATCCTTGTTTTCGTTCAATACCATCATGCTGAAATAATATAATAAAAAATAATAATAATCACTTATATTTATACAGGTTTTCACATTCAGAAAATATATATTCTGCCATCAATCAAACAGCTGTACCTAACTAAAGTACGTTTAATCTTAGAAAGTGAAAAAGTTAAGCAAGATTTATAAGCTTAAAACTAACAGACTCTACTTGCTACAAGTTGTGTAGCACTTTAATTGATCATTGTTACAATTAGAAATCATGAGCAGTTTCATTTTAAATAACAGTAAGCTTTTCTTCGCCCCTTCGTCCTTTTCGTCTATTTTTATCTAGTAGGTTAAAAATTAGTGTTTGTGGAACAGCAAAACGTTTCCTGTCAACTTCTGTTCTATCTTTTGATGATTTTACAAGCGTCCTTTTTCCCAAGTATTTTTCCTGTTGTATATGCTGAAATCGATCTTCAAATAATTTTAGCGTAAGATTGTAGAGAACTTCAAAGGCATCTACGTATGTCTATTCTTTGTTTACAGTTCAAATTCATGCTATCCCAATTTCGCGAAATTTCTATATCAATTTCTGCAGCCTTCGTGGATATATTTTGAATATATATTTGCATACGTAGCTATACAAACGATTATAAAAAGAAACTAGCATTGCGAGATCTGCGTCTGTACTTTAGTCTGAACATCAGATATCCACCAATGACATTCCTACCACTGACCTACTTCTCACCTTTAGTACATAGAAATCACCTTATTTTAATTTGGTCTTAACATCAGATATCATGGTTTTATTGATACGAGCTGTTGCGTGAGGTAAGATAATGATTAATGATAAAATCAATTGTGGTAAATTAACAGCATCTTTATTGTCATCATCTTCATAAAAGACATTAAATTGATTTAAGGCAAATTTGAAGTTAATTTCGTTACCTGCTGCCGTTCACCGTGAGAAATTTCTAATTCTTTAACTTGTTCACGAATGTTATTCACTATAACTTCAGCATCAGATGCTTGCTGATTTACCTAAATAGAATAAAAACAACATTATAAAGTGATTTCGCCAACCATGATTAAAGTGCTTATGATGCGAAATTTTCGGACCTTTTTTTACTAACTTGAGTAAAATTACAGCTGTAAAAGGATTTTCAGCAAACATTAATTTGATCTTTTCATATAGATTTTACAGGCGTCGGAAGTTGCAATTTGTGGCCATCTTGAATGAGGTTTTAACCTCCATGTTTACTCAATCTGACCTCATAGCTAGAACATATTCTTAACACGGCAACAGTAGTTACAGTAAACTTGTTCATGTCCATACTCGTTGTGACGTTAAAATTACGTAAGCAAACAAGCAAAATCTTTGGTGTTAACATTTAGCAACTTCAACTAAACGCACAATTAACAAAAACATGCCAAAATGCTTGCTTATAAACATCTGGGGGCAGTTAAAACGTTAAAAAGACACATCATGTTCTACATGTAATCTAAAATTAGAAAAACCATACAGTTAGAGAAACTTACATCGACATGTTGCTTAACTTTCTCTGCTTCCTGAGCTCCACGCATTATAGCCTTCTTGTCAATATTTCTTTGTTTTTTCCTTAAATATTCAAGCATACAGTTTAAATCACAATTAAACATTAATAATAAAACATTATTATATTGCAAAACATTCAACTTTCACCATTCAAATATCTATACATAACATGAATATTTATCAGGTTCTATACTTACAACTTTTCCATTGTTTTTCCAACATTATCCATGTCGTCACGTAATGTCTTGTTTTTACGAGATATTTCACGCAATTGAATTGTACATTGTTTGATATCCGTCCTAAGTTTTGTTAGTGTGCTATGGTATTCCCTTTCCTATCAAACATTTGTTGCAATACGTAAAACTATAAATAATCAATCTCTAATAATGAAAAAAAATAAACAAAAACTTCAACTTATATAGAATAAGTACCACGACATGCAAACAATTTTAAATAATACTAAAAAAATCAGAATAAAGACGTCCTGTTTTCTTGATATTCAAGTTAATAGAAGAGTTTAGACACAGAGTAGGCAATATTCCAATTGGTCTGACGATGTCTTTGGAATAAAGATGAAATATCACCTACTTTATGTAGGTCGAAACTCTTGTACTATCTTGAATATCAAGAAAACCGGGTGTCTATTGCGGAATTTGTTTTATTTTGAATTAGAATATCAATGATGAGTTTCATTTAGATAAATCCAAACAAAAAATATTAATAACCATCTTACCATAGTTTGATTTTCTTTCTTTAAGTTGTGATTTTCTTCAGACAACCTTACGTGTTCGCTGCTCTGTTCAGCAATCTTTTCTTGCAATTGCTTGACCTTCGTTAAATAAATTTTTCAGCTATTTAAGTCGTAAAGCTTAAAAATTATATTAAGTGTATAAATTGTATTTGTGATTTCACGAAGCGTCTTAACAAAAACCTTTTGTTGTTGTGCGATTTCCTGTAATATCACTCTTTCCTCTCGTTGTACTAAAAATTTAATAAAATACAGAATAAGAATATAAAAATACAGATGGTGTTAAACTGTCAATTATACCTAAATTCAAACATTGTTGGTCGTTTTCTTTCAAAGTGCGTTTAATATCATTGATTATATGAACATTCGATGTGTGATCCATTTTTAGTTGAGCTAATTCATCACTGAAATGAAGAATTGCAATTATTTTTAAGAAATAAATATTTACTTACTTTTTGTATGATTAATACATAAAAAAACTGTCGATCAATCATATTTATAAAAAATGCTTTCAAGGAATTGGTGTCCTAAAGTTTTTCTAAGAAATAAGATAATCATTAACGCTCTCATTTGAATCGATAGAATCTCGTCTTGGCTATCTACTGCTGTTGCCTCCTTTAAAACACAATAACTTAAAATGATATTAATTCTATTCGCCCGATGCGTTTCCCATATAAAGCATGTTTATAAGTAAGCAATATTATGCACATTATACCTCACATGGTTCAGTAAATTACAAACGCTATCCACTTCTTTTTTCATCAACATACGTTCATGATTTGCCATCTGTTTAGCCACTGACGTTTTCCGTTGCGATTCTTCCAGCTGTTTTAAAGTACTTTGAAGATCTGCGTCTGTTTCATCTTGTTTTGATTGAATATTAGCCATAGCAATCTCTTCAAGATGCAACTTTTCACGAACTAATGGGCTGTAATCAATTGAAAATCACGTAGCCAGAATGACAATGGGGGAGAGGGGCATATTAAGTGCTGTAGAAGTGGGGCGATTGGGGAGGAGCCCATTTCATTTTGAAAGATGAGTGTTAAGGACAGAATTTGCAGGAACATTGCCTTTAAGAAACCAGCATCCATTGTCTTACATTTTTTTGCCAAAGGTTGCTCTCAAAGTTGTCGAAAAGTGTAAATTGAGACTTGTCGAGGTAGGTACTGAAAGATAATGAGCTAATTTTAAATCAAAGGTCAAAGCTCGAAACTCTAAATAAAACGAAACTTCTATTTTGAAATCGAAGTTCTTACCTTAAAGTGAAGTAATTCTAACTTTAAATCGAAGTTCTAATTTCAATTAAGTCGAAGTAGATCTAAACTTTAATTAACGTTCTAAATTTAAATGGACTTCTAATTTTAAATCAAAATTCTAAATTTAATTAGAGCTTCTAATTTTAAATCGAAGTTCTAAGTTTGAATCAAACTTCTAACCCCAATCGAAGTTATTATTTTAACATCGAAGAATCGAGATATTGTTTATATTTTAGGAAAATGGCAAAGAGATCCCGGTTGAAGTTTCTCTACATAGGCGTGTAAAACACAACAACAATCCAGTTGCTTGATTATTTCGAATGTGGGCCATCCTTGAAATTTGTGTTGGAAAGACCAGAAGCTCATATGGATTTGTTTGACTACATCAGTAAACAGGAATTTCTAACGGAAAAAATAGCAAAAAGAATATTTCGCTAGGTACTTGACGCAACGCTCCACTGCGAAGAGAAAGGCGTTTTCCATCGCGACATAAGACGAAAATATAATATTGGATCTGAAGAACAAAGTTGCAAAACTGGCTGACTTTGGATCGGGCACACAGTTGCATAATTTCGAATACACTGAATACGAAGGTAAAGGAAGAATTAGCTTTTCAATCATCTGGGAGTATTCATACATTTACTGAGATGGCGAGATAACATACTATTGTCAGTGAAACACAATGACAAGCATACAATATACGGCAAACCAAACACTTTCTCACAAAAACATGAATACGTTCAATCTCTTCACAAGTTAAAACATCAATACACCCACTCTTCCCTTTAATAAAAAACATCAATAATAGTCACGTTTACCCTTCAATATCAACACCTGCCAATCAGGTTCACATAATAGAGAATCCGTTTTTGAATAAACACAGGAACGCGTTCTCACTGTCCACCAGAATGGTTTACAAAGCAACGATACTTAGCACGTCCAGCGACGATATGGTCGCTCGGTATTCTACTCTACGATGTGCGGAGATGTACCGTTTGCAAACGAAAGTGAGATCAAAGATATGGAACCATGTTTCAACATGGCGCTCTCGCAAGTTACGCATCCTTTATTATTTTTTAAAGTCAGGAGAACAAAAGCGCTTTGCTGAGGTGCAACTCTCTAAATCCTTACATCGAGTTGCTTAACATCTCATTATACACGAGGATCGACGATAGTTCTTATGAAGTCAAGCTTAAAACAAAGTGAAAACAGCTCTGCTAGTACTTCATGCTAAGCCGAGAAAAATACACACTTCACTGTATTTACACCATGCCTTTTTTGTTTACAAATCCAAACGTTCTCTTTATATATAGCAGTAGTATCGTCTATAGATTGCATACATATTTTATAATAATCATATTTTTCATCATTTTTATGATAAATTCTATAAAAATATTCTGACGTACCACGTACCACGTACCTACGTGATGCACGTGGTACGTCACGTATCGTACCACGGAATAACGTCGCTACGTTATCTAATGATAATAATGTACGAGAATACATTACACTATAGTACTATTTTACTTAATAGGTAAAATAAGAAAGATTACCTTTATCATGATTCTGGATTTCTTTATCCGTGAGTCGTCTTAGTAAATTGTGATGCTGTTCCTGATGACGAAAGACATTGAGTATTCTTGATACAAGCGTGTCTCTACCTTTACAAACTTCTATTAAAGACGTCACACAAAGCATGTCTTCTTTCATTAAAATCTATATCATGTAAATGATACAAAACTTCAACACGTACAAATCCCTGGAATATTAAACAGCTCAGATTAATAAATACCTCTTTAAGACCAAAATATTCCTCCACTGGCATTATCATTTCATGCTGCAAAAAACATTTTAAAACAATATACATTAGTACGTAAATGATATGACAAAAACAACTGTTATGTAAACCAACCATGTATCTAGCTGTAATTCGTATCGTTCCTGCTTCAGTTCGTGAATGTGATGCTCTGAGTTGAAACCAGTCATCCACAACCTCACCTTTAGTTAAGATCTGTAGAGCGACCGTAACAGTTGCTAAAAAGACAATGCATGAAAACGAACGGTAAAAGTAATTCATCATCAACAATTTACCAAACAAAAACTCACCAATGTCATGATCTTTGGATTGTTTGTTTCGATAAAAAATCGCAACCGTAAAAGAGACAATATCCTCAGGAATATCGCTATATAGGGGAAAATGGAACCAATGTTACTTGACTTTTTAACTTGAATACAAAGTAATATTTGAATTACTTGAATATAAACTGTTCATTTCATAAGGGATTTTCTCCCTCGATAACAGGCGTTCTACATATTCGAACTTCATTCAGTGATACAACACAATAAGGATGGTACGATTTATTTCCTGGTAGATTGTGTGCCTCTATGATAGTCAGTTCCAGGCCTCGTAACTGTTTAACGTCCGAGCTAGCCATGACTTGAGTCGCCGTCCACCGAGATTTGCAGCAAAACTTTCTGATGGCTTGCATCCAGTCCTAAAGAGGCATCTTCTTGCAGAAAATTCGAAGAAATAACGTCATTATGAACATATTAAATATTTAATGCTCACGTTCGCTTCATCATAGGTGTCGGCGCACAAATAAAACATCTGAGTATCACCAAAGCGGACTGCTATCTGAAAACAATTTGGCCAGACGCGAAGTGCAAAGAAATAAGTTAGTTGAAAATTGAAATAACTTGATATAATTAATATATACCTTCCAAAAAGACTTTCTTGAACCTCGAAAACAGTTGAATATCTAAGATCAATCATTCCTTTTGGTCTTGTTCTCTAAAAATACAAAATTATAAAGAATCATGAAAATCGTTATATTAACTGAAATTTTAATTTAACACTCACCGATTGATGTTCGAAAAATAGCAATTTTTCATCTTCAGAACAAAATACATGCTTTTCCATTTCTTAACAGTATCTAAAAAGGTATTGATGATTCTTAAACAAAAAAGAAAAAATAATATCTTCTTTATCTATAAGAGGGAGGGCGTGGAGTAGAGTTGGTAATGACAGTAGCCACCTGTACAAGTTGCACCTATATAAAGGGAAGAGGGTGGAGTAGAGTTGGTTGTGAAAGTAGCCACCCTCAAAATTTGCACCTAAACAAGTGAAGAGGGGTGGAGTAGAATTGGTAGTGACAGTAGCCACCTAAACAGGTTGCACCTCTAAGATTCTTTCATGTAAACAAAAGTTAATACCTTCTTTATCCGTAAACCATTACAGAGGGGTGTGTGTGACAATAGCCCTGCCAAAATTGCACAATAAACAAAACAAGTCAGGTGATTAAAAAGAGATACTTCCGTGGAAGTTAGAAAAATTGCTGACAGCAACTTTGGCACCCTGAACAATAAACACTGGTGCCTTTTTTAACCAAAAACCCTGATTTCACAGACTTTCCAACTTTGGATTCAAATGTAGACTAATAAATAGGAGTGACAGGAGTGTCCTCGTGGATATTCAAATCAGAAAACCACTTATCAATGTAAGTGTAGAAGGTGGGGTTTGGTCTTTCTGTAATGGATAAGTAATTTAAATACATTACATACTTGTACAGCTTTATACTTCATGACAAACTTATGCTTGTAACTGGATTTCCAAGAGATAATCCTTGTTCAATAAACTCTTTCTTGTATCCAAACTGTAATTATACTGTAATTAATACTGTCCAAACTGTAATTATACAAGCTCAACAATCACTAAGATTTAGAAGGTAAAGGTATAGAACAAAAATACTAGTACATACTCTTCAAACAATCTTCCACCAAACAAATACTGAAGACCTTGTTTTCTGATTAAAAATCGTGACACTCCATTATCATCTCTAAAAATGAAAAATTGTGATTGTAATAGATTCAACACAAGAGCTTCCGTTCTTCCAGTTTCCGGATTTCAGATATTAGGGCTGACCCAACACAAAGTGAAAAATCACCAACTCTTGCAGAACTAGAACGAATCAGAAAACTGCCAACAACACCTTCTACGAGAAAAATACAACTTTATTGCACTTTAGCTCTTATCTATAATCACATTTGAATGAACAATGTTTAAACTTATCATCATTATTTCTTGTGATGAGTGGTATTCATTACTATTTATGTATTCAAATATGTCGACAGAAGTTATTATAATATCGATAAAAAAGGATGAATGATATAACTTAAATAGACATTGTCATTATACCATTCATCAGCAGTTCATTAGCCTCATTTGAAAGTTTATCAAAAAACCATCTAATAAATATAAAAGACCATTGAACTTTGAAAAGAAAACCAACAGTAAAATTGAAAAATCATGAATAACATACGGCCTGCCAGCATGAGGACTAAGGTAGCTAACTGGTGTACCTTGTTTTTGAGACGATCTTCTGAGGTTTTCGATCCAGTTTGCCATGATACCAACTGAAAACAGAACAAGATTTCATCAGGAAGCAGTAAGATAAAGTAAAAAAGATCATTAATCTTAAGCTAAGAAAATTGGCCCTTGAGACGAATAAAGATTAACAGATCTATAAAGATTACGAGGACTGTTTTCATTAAAATTACCATTTCTTTTTGGGGGGTGACTCAGAAAATTATAAGAATTGGGTCTGCTATAGTTTGCATCATAAAATGTCACTGTCATTCTACCCAATGTCCCAAACGTAATTAAATCAAATCAAATCAAATCAAATCAAATCAAATCAATCTTAACCATCAATCAGTCAAAAATAATTTGTAAATCGATCTTAAATATATTTTAGAGGAAAAATTAAAACATTTTTTTTGTTTTAATTTTGTCTGTTTCGCATTATTGTTATTTTATAAAAGAAATAAAAGATCTTTTTCGTGTTTGCACTCGCTTATGCAAACCTCGGAGACATTTGTGAGAACTCTCGAGCAGGTGCAACCCTCGACCTTCGGTCTCAGGCTTGCACTGATCTGCTCTCGAGTTTTCTCTAAAGTCTCCTCGGTTTGCATAAGCCTGTGCAAACACAGTAAACATTTTTTATTTCTTAAATGTCGTACAGATTGGTATCCCAAAAAATTTAAATAAATATTATTTTTACCTATCTTTATATTCGTGTAATAAAGCGTTAAATTGTTAGGAAAAGATCGTGATGGAGCAGTATTTTTAAGAACTGTGTTCCACAATATATTGATTATTTTCACCGATTGGCAAGGACATTGCTGATTGCTCTCAAAATCTAGTAGTATGAGTAAGTTTAAAGCAAGTATGATTTTAACACATGCTACTGTGGTTTAACTCACCCAAAAATAAAATATATTTCATTCTGTAAAAATTGAAAGATTGTAGAACGAAAAGTAATTATCATACGCATTGTTCTTATAATTTCATAAAAAAATCTAGTTAACAGTAAGATATCGACAAAATTAAATACACGGCCAATTTAGACTTTTCATCTTGATCCTTTGGTTAGCATGGTCTGCAAGGGTGTTTAACTGAAATTGAGAAAATTTATTTTAGCCCAAAGTCGAGTTACTTTTGTATATGATGAGTTCAGCCACATTTCTTGATTTTTTCGCTGTTATCCAGTCAGAAATTGAAACTTAACGCTTGTCTCGGTGCGTAAATTTATTACATACATGCATGGTATGTAACTATACTAACTAACGCGTAATACCGTCACATTTTGTATATTCTCATGATATAATAAAGTAAAATTCATTAAATTAAACTTCAGAACAATGTCGTCATTTATTTTCTTAGAAATCTATTGTTTTTACAGTAAGTAAACATCATGTGGTAAACACATAGGCATTAGGCGGCCAAATGCCAGCTGGCTACCCGGCTATGCCACAGATAATATGACCTTTGACCTTAAACCCTTGACCAAAAAGACATACGTTTAATGACCTTTGACCTCTCAGTCCAAAGAGGTTCAGACAAATACGTATTTACTATAAAACGGCCTTTAATAGGTTACTTCTCGTCCTTCTTCTTTCAAAATCTCCTGTGCAAATTTCCCAGTTTCAATAGAAACATTCAATAGCTTACTTTAACTGTTTATACTTACCGAAATGAAACCCATGTCACAACAACTCCAGTAATTGCAAGAATAGCCAAAAAGCCGATGACTATTATTAATATTGCTTTTTGTCCAAACTCTAAAATCAAGTGTGTAAAAACAACTCCATTAGCAGTTTAGCACTTAAATTTACGGTAAATGAGGCATTAAATCAATCTCATTAAGTTAACTTAAGGCCTTATACTTCGAATTTAATTCAGACAAATTTAATTGGATGTTCAATTCGTGACAGTTCGTCGATAGATCGTGCTCACGGTTGTTCATTTCGAAAAAGGCAACCTCACAACTTCAACTGTCATTTTACCCTCGTTTTTGCAAACTAGCGTTTTGGATGAAATTACCATAAAAAATAACAATTAAAGCAGACATAATTTATTTTAATATAATATATCAACATACCATCGTTTAAGTGAACAGATGGATTAATTTGATTTGTTGTAACCATAACTTTAGAATGATTTCTATTTAGAGAAGGTATAGTCATCGAGATTTTGTTGTAACTGGAAGCTGGGAAACAGACAAAGAAAAGATGGACATAAATAGCCATCCTACAAAGCAATTAGAAAGCTAAAGCTACTGTGTAGGGAGGGAAAAAACCAATTCTTAAACATTTTCGACTAAACATCGAATGTAGACGTACATAGTGATGCATTTTTTATAAGATTGTTGACTTAATTATCGCTTGTGTTATGATTAAAGCAAATAATCAGTAAATTATCTCAAGCTTTATTTCTATTTTCTCACTCCTTACATAAGAAAGGACAATTTAAAAAAGCATACATAATTTATTGTAATATAATATACTAACATACCATTGTTTAAATGAACAGTTTGATGTATTGGTGCAACCGCAGCAGTGAAAATTTTATTTATAGGTTTTGTCATCTTCGTTGTAATGTTGATATAATCGAACTCTAGTATATGGAAAAGTCATTTAAGAGAGGCTTATTTAGGGTGTGGCAAATACCATATACAACACACACCCACTTTGATACCCCTCAGGGGTGTTTAAGTGGTCACCCGAGAGGCCCGCGTTTTAAGGGGCCCTACAAACAGCAAAGTCTTTTTCGTTTCTATACCGCCTTATAATGTCGCTAAAGGAAGACAAAATCCCAGCACGAAACATTACATTGTAATTATTACATTATAATTATTGCAATTATTAAATTATACTTATTGTTATTAGTACATTATACACATTACGGGGAAAGGTTGAGTGCTTTCGTCAGGTGTCAAATTGGCGTTTTGTTTTCAATGCCTGATGATCGAGGGGGCCTCAATATTTTGTTTGGAAGGGCCCCATGCAAGTTTGATCCACCGTTGGCCCTCCTGTTATGAAAACATAAAGCAACTGTCGGGGAGGATGGGTAAAATCTGTTTTAAACATACGTACGTGTGACAAAATCACCTCACCAAAAGTTGATTTAAAATTGCTTAGATTAAAATTTACTAGGAAAGTTTTGATTCCTAAAGTTTTGCAAGCGCTTTCTCAGGGCCTTGTTGACTTTCGAAATAAAGAAAATGCGAAATTCGTTGTACTTCGCTGTTAACAAAATGTCCTACCTTTTGTAAATGACGACATCGTTGGTGATGGTGATAACGTGCAGCTCCTTTTAGAGGACGCTAAAATTCAATCATAAAATTTCTTACATAAACAAAAATAGTTTCTCCAAATAAATTTGACAAAAATATTGAGGCAATTTCCTGCCCTGCGTATTACAGGGGTAGGCCTTGTTTGCGACTTCTTTCGCCTTTGCGACACACTTGAGTCACTGTGCATTTGGCTTTTGCTTTTCTTACTCTACATTTTAGGAAAAGGAAAAGTTGGCTGTTTTATTATATTTTTGCCTGAATTGTGTCAGCCTTCAATTTTGAGGGCTCCGCATTCAATTTTCACAATATTTTGGTCATAGCAAATATCTGCTGATAAAATCACTAATCAATTACCTGCTACTTCACCTGACAAAACACTTTGTTCGGCAGGTGTTGCAGATTCCAAAGTCCTGTTGTCTGATGGATCTAATGATAATATCAATGCACAAGTAAAAACAACAGCACAATTTAATTAGAGCCCTATGTAAGATATTCCTAATATTTTACCCTGCAACTCTGATGATGCCAAAAGGTTATCGGACTCAACAACTTGTTGGGCAGAAGTCACGGAACCAAATTTCATCATATCTTCTGATTCATCTACGTAATCACAATGCATCATACTACATCACACTACATCACAATGTATCACAATCCATCACAATGTATCACACTACATCACAATGTATCACACTACATCACAATGCATCACAATGCATCTACAATGCATCACAATGCATCACACTACATCACAATGTATCACAATCCATCACAATGCATCACACTACATCACAATGTATCACAATGCATCACAATGTATTACAATGCATCACACTACATCACACTACATCACACTACATCACAATGTATCACAATGCATCACAATGTATTACAATGCATCACAATGTATTACAATGCATCACACTACATCACAATGCATCACACTACATCACAATGCATCACAAACCGTTCCTTATAATCCTTGTTGCGATTTCTTATTTGACCAAGACTTATCTAAAATTCAAACAATCAAATAAAAGTCTTGAAATCATGAATTGCCTACAGCATTCAAGTACATATCACTGTATTGGATTTGATAGAATAAAAACTATCTTGAAGTTACTTTGTGTCTGATAGTAACATTACTTTGTACAAAGTGTACAAAGCAAGAAAAACAACAGCCAAATGACATATAAAAAAACCTTTTTTTAGTAATAACATTAAAGAATATTATAATTCCTGTGTCTGATTGCAGTTTAAAAGAAAAATTATTTACATCAATATAAAGCCAATGATTCCAAATTTGATAAAATGAGAATGAATGATTTCAAATGAAAATTATGTTTAAGTAAAGATCATTTTATACACCTGTAAATTCACATTTTCAATTGGGTTACATGAAAGCGCGTCTACTGCGGATTTAGCCATTTCTTCTTTAGGAAATCGAACAAACCTGCAGTGTGCACACAATTAATAAGTAAGAGAATGAAAGACATCGAGAATAATTTCTTATACAACAAAACTATCTAAAATAGTTCCAATAGTTTATAAAACAATATCTTGAGACACTACACTCACGCAAACTGGTATCCATGGAATGATTCTACTCCTGGTCTTAAAGTGCACATACAGTTATTTTTAGTTTTTTATTCTCAAATAGATTTTGGATAAATAATACAAATGCCGTTTACAGAATTTGAATAACTTTTTTCGTTTTTGAGTTATCTTTCGGCAAAGATGCGAATAAAACCTAAATTTCAACGTTTTGTAAAAAATGTCGAGAGCTCTAATCCGTGGCATGGGACTTACTTGTGACGTCATTTAAGGAACACAGACTGACTACCAAAACAACTTACACTGTTTATGCATGTAAACAAACACAAAAATGCCAGATCGATGTGTAGTTTTTGGTTGTTCTAACGTAGCCAGTTCGGAGAAAGGCATTTCACTTCATCGCATACCATTTTTTAACGACGAAAGAAGCGAAGCTAAGCGTAGGAGAAAGCGATGGGTCAACTTTGTGAAAGCTACTCGCGATAAGTGGGTCCCCACAAAGAATTCCGCAGTTTGCTCGGAACACTTTACAAAAGATTCGTTTTCTCGGCAATTCGGCTCGCTTTCTGAATCAGAAAGTAATTTTGCACCTCGACTCATTCGGAATCGTTGCTTACCCGAGCATTTATCCTCGAAAAGATGACAATGAACTTACAACAAGAGATCGCAGAATGGTGAGTACGTTAAAATTATACATATGCATATCTACATTTTACCTGGAATCTGTGTGAGAGTATATTTCATAAATACATGCCATTTTAGATGAAAAAAAAGTGGATGTCTGATTAAAAATGGTGAAGCTGTTGTAAGAAATGTAAAAGTTGCTTAGGATTTTGGTAAAATTATTTAATACATTTCTCCTACTGTAGTCAGACTGTTAACGACAAAATTCTTCACTTTGATGATACAAGTATGAAACTTTCTCACATTCTTACTATGCCTGTTGTATAAGAATATACAGGGAAATTGCAGATTTCTCTGAACTTTTTTTTTTACTACCGACGACGTCATCAAACACGACATTCGCAGAACTCGTTTTAAATGTAAAATATGGGCTGGCCCTATATCAAAATTTTGTGTTACTAGGCATAGTAAGAATGTGAGAAAGTTTCATACTTGTATCATCAAAGTGAAGGGTTAGCTGTTTTTTTGTCGTTAACAGTCTGACTACTGCCAGATATCATGTGTTTAATGCCATAATAATGAAAGCCATAAGAAATGATTACCATAAAATAAAATTTTGAATAATTTGCACATTGCTCGTCCAGGGTATGTTGAAGATATTTATCAAGTGTTGTGCTCTGCACTCATTGATGAGGAAACATTGAGAAAAGCCAAAGGTGATCTTTACGAATGACTCCATTGCCAATGAATTCTATGTTGGACAAGCAATCAAAAAGTGAAGCTATCTCAAGAAAACGTCAGTCTACATCAATACCAACAGTCCTTCTCAGGACACTATTAACCTGGACGATCTTCATCCACAAACATGTTACGATACTCCCTGGTTCAAACCACTTACTATGAAATTACTGATGTAATTGGGTAATTGTTGAAAGACCCACATTGGTTAAAGACTCAAATGCGAACTTTTGTCCGTCAATTTACAAGACGTACAACGACATACGTAACTAATCATACAAAGACATTGAGTTTATCGCATCATGGTAGAAAGTATGCCTGCAATCGTCAACAGGCAAACAGCTCTGAATTAATTGCAAGACTAACAACTTTTGCTTTGAGTCAAAGACGTTTTCAACCTCATACTTTCGTTTGCTTTATTATTAAGCGAATGTACACCACCGGGAAAGACGCTACACAAACACTTTCGTTCGTCGGTGTTCACTAAAATAAATCTGAAAAAGAAAAACCATACTTTCCTTGAATGACAAATCTTCTCATTCTTCTTTCATAGGAGCCATATGTCTTTCTCTTTATTGAAACCAAACTGATAAATATTAAATGACATCAGTCAATTTCCCCCACTGGAGATATTTTTCACATTCAAATGTAAACGTATTTCCACATATATGTACATTTTCCTGGGCTTCCTAATGCCCGACACCTTTATTCAACGGGGCTTTTACAAGTGGAAAAACCATGCATCTTTGAAAAAACAATTGCTATAACTTCTATTCAAAGACTCGAGTAACTCCGAAAGAAGAGACTACAAGAATACTGACTGACTAAACATTGGGAAAGATAATATGGTTGCATGGTATTTCTTCGAAATGGTCAAACATAAAAGGTTTATTTAGTAAGTGAAGAAAATATGGAAAAACATACCCAAGAACACCGTTATCCAATGACATTGAAGGGGTCAAATTCCTTGGATGCGAGAGCAAACATTGTTTAACATTATCGATGGCAGGATTCCAGTAATTGAACAAAAACTATACAAACGTTCGTTGAAAATACTATTAAATAGTTATTTAAACGAGAATAAAATACTTGAAAAAATACCATCGTATTTCTTGTAAGAACAAGAACTTTTAATACCTTCTCCTCAATTTCTAGTAAACTTGGATTTGGCCCACAAATAACGCAAAGTTCTACACCCTCCACAATCTACAGAAAGTAAACCAAATACTATGCACAGCCTTGACACTGCTTGATTTATTGACAGAATCATGTTCGGCAAAGGAGGATGAAAAATCATATCTCATGTTTACAGATGCAAGTCATGATAACAGAACTTGCAGCCGTGGCTAAAAAAAAGTGGAAATAAACTAGATAATATGGTTGATTGTAAGCAATAAAAATATTCTACACCTGAAAAAATGCGAGTCTGTGAGCACCCTATAAATACATGAAAGGATGTTTGACAACAGTAAAATTTAATGTTCCTAGTAAAATTTAATCACTATTTTGCATGAGTAAAGTTACACATAGTTGTCACGTGATTTGTTGCACTCAGGCAAAAATATTTTATATATGAGATTCGGATGTTTAGCTAAAGTTGGGTTTTTGTTTGAAACTATCAAAATTTGAAAATCATCACAGCTAATTGTAGTAGTTATTTTAGTGAATCAATCGACTCAATAATTGTTCTTGATACATGTATGTTACTATTATATGGATAGACGACGATAGAAATAAAAACAAAAACATCACTTTGACTTACGGAGGCTGACGTAGAATCATAGTAACATGACGTATATTTTTCTTGGATAACAGACAGTGTTACAGAATGGAAAAGGAAAGACGCCTGGAGTTGAGTACTAAAAACAAAAAATAAAAAGCTAGCCAGCAGTTATTAATGAACTACAAGATATGGTTATCAGTTGCAATGTCCCAAGGAAACGACATTTGCCAAAAATCATTCTTACAGATCACTTAATGGAAAAATAAATACGCCATACGGTGTTGTGTTAAAACAAACAACTCGAAAACATAAATTTATAAATTTTAATAGCAGTTGTTTCAAATTTATCGCAAATAAAAATACGTCAAATAATTTGATTCTTTCAGCCATTCCGATAGGAGAAACAACAGAGCCATATCTTTTCATCTTCTTAAGGCACAAAAAGGAAGAATTGATTGACCTCATAAACTCAGAGGCGTGGCTCTCACAATAATTGGGACGGGGGGTAGAGGGCGCAATCTTTTTACGTATTTATGTTCTGCCGTATGAAGTTGCATTAAAATCAATTGTTATCTGCGGATTAAAACATGCATCTTTGAATATTGCTCCCCACCTCAATCATCCATGCTACGTAGCAACGTTTCTGTATAAATTCGGCGCTATTGTAACCAAAAAAAGTTTCGAAGAACTGAAAAATTTGCTCGTATCATGTTTTTTTTTGGGAAAAAAATTTGCTTACCTTACACGAAGTGGTAACATAAGATAGGATGGGTGAAACTTGCAATATTTCCTAAAAACAAGCGATAGTTACACAAATGTAGCAGAAGTTTACAATCATTGTATCCAATATCAATAAGCCCACTCAAACACTCTTTCATATAGGCAAACCTTTACGTTTAATAACGTACTTACTGTAAAAATTCTCACCAGATTTTTATTGTACGATGTCTTTACAATAACATCAAACTGGAAACGCAAACAAAAGCAAAGAGTATTGAAGATGTGCAATGTCTCAATTACTATGTCATAATTATTTCTCTTGGAAATACACAAGAATACATATTTAAAATCTAACGTATACAGCTAGCTACTAAGCATAGATAATGATGTTTAATACGTTCTAACACTTGCTTTTTTAAGCAGCGTAGCCACTTGATAGTTGGAGGGTACGAATGTTCAAATACATGCGTGTATCTGCTTATTTAGTTCCTGCTAAATTTAAGGTTTGTAACGTTTTGATATGGTTAATAAAATTAATATCCAAATATTCACTACTTTAACTATCGAGGTCGTTGAAGCTTTCTTTCCCTCGAAGTTTTTTATACCGTGACACTAGGCTTAGAGACAACTTATGACGTGATGAAAGGGAAAATTTTTGCTAACAAAGAGTGCCCTCTCACAAAAAAGATATAAAGAGAAGTCGTTAAGAAAACTTGGGAAAATGAATTACATTTTTTTTTCTTTATTTGGTACTTTTATGAACAGCAATCTAACAATCTCTACTTTGCTACGCTGCAATAATATAAATAACATAACTTACATGTGTTTCAGAGCGTAAATCAACATTCTTTTTTTCAAACTTATATAGAAGTTGAGAATCAGACACTTCCACTTTAAGGAAAGTTACAGTGATGGATAATGATGTTAAACGAACGGACACGAAGTTTGAGTTTTTCACAACATAACGATTCTAGATAAAAATAAACATACGACATTAAAAGAGCATTTGTTATACACTCACTGGAAGAGGAGGGTGGCAGAAAAATGGTCATAAAAAGTTGTTGTAACTCTTTACGCACAGTGGCACTGACATGATTTATTTTAAGTGGGGATATCCGTAAAGATTATAAATAAAACTGGAGGTGGCATTGATGATGTTTAAGGCGACGAGTGAATTGGGGGCAAATTTTGGTCCGGATTAAAACAAGAAGTAAACAAATGATGTTTTTGCCGTCTGCTTCTAATTTTGAATTCTTTTTTAATGTATTTTAGTAAGTTTTTTATAATCTTTTGTACGAGCATTAAGAAAATTTGTCATTTTAAAGCGTTAAACTGTACGCGATGAAAACTTATGTTGTTTTTCGTTGTTTTTCTTTTTACAACCCCATATTCACATAGTTTAACAATTTTTAACATTTTTCTGGTATGGATGACAAATATATGTTTTTTGAAGTCCGTTAGCGGTTGAATTAAAGACGAGAAAGGACTTTTATCAAGCAATGATTTACGGACTTATATAATTTACCTAATAAGTATAAAAGCAATACAAACAAGTTTTGCAAAATACGAGTGGTTTAAACCATCTAAAATTACGATAAAAAGGAAAGCGTTGTTAAACAATTAGATTTGGATAGTATTTACTATAGTATTTACCCATAATATATACAAAAAGTAAAAAAGAGTCGGCTATTGTAGCTGAACATCCGGGAACTTTGCTCCCCGAAAAACGCGTACCATATTTTGAACTATAGATTATATTACGATGCCACCTCTAGTATTACTTATAATCTCTATGATGATATCCCCAAAATATCACTTCAATAATATGCATGTAGTATTGGAGATTACTTAGAAGTTAAGGCACAGAAAAAAAACATTTTCCGTGTTTCTATAGAGTTATAGAAACATACGGAAGGATTGGAAGAAACAAGAAATTGCGTGGCAAGCACGAGCAGGAAGTGGAGAGTCTACAAGCAATTTCGAGTATCTACGTATCTCTAAACTTCAACATGAGTTTGACGAAACAGATGAAAAGTCTTTTGTTTTCTTCATGAAAAACCTTTTATTAATAATGTTAATAAGATGTATTTGCTCAGTTCATTTTAATTACATATTATTTATATTTTTGCCTTTTGAAGTTACCAAAAACCACGCAAACTGCAAGGAAATGATACTAGAGAAACACTGTTTTTTGAGCATTTAACTAATCAACGCCCAAATCAAAAGGCAATTTTACAATTCTGTGCCATATATTATCAATAAAGATCGTAGTGAGAGCAACTTTGAAAAAGGGGAAGGCACTAACACACGCAGGGAAAATAGTTGCTCTTCAGGAAAGGATTTTTTCAGACCGCAGGCAAGTTTCAACTTTTTAACATTTCATAAATAAAAAAAATAGATTTACCTTAATGAACATATAACCACTATAATTTGAAAAGAAGCATTGTAATCATGGACATATAAAGCTTCAGCGAACGAGTTCTTGGAAAGAGGAAAAAGCACAACTCCACTTATCAGCAGGGTCAAAATTATTGCAATGGCCGCCTTCAACTTCCTTTAACAAAGAAAACAATGTCCAGTTATATATTTGATTTAATTACAATGTTTGAAATTTGAAACATAAACTGAGGTCTAACAATGAAAGGAAAACGTCAGTTTGAAAGAGCTTGAGATCAATTGTAATACCAGGTATGCAAAACCAGCTTGGATAAAATTAAATTGAAATAACTCAAAACAAATACTACAAGCAGCTTGGAGTTTTTAAGTCTTACTATGCAGGGTCTAAAGTTTAAGGTCTCAAATATTCATTGAATAGAGTAACTTTGTTTTGGATACTAATTTAACAAGTTTAATTCACTTGTCTCCCAAGAGGATACCACATTTTTTCTAAAAAGGGGCAGAAATTAATGTTTCACTGGTCTCTTATTTCATTCCTTTAAGTAGTGCTACAACACAAGTCTAGTTTTCTATAAATGAGAATACACACACCAAACTAAGATTCAAGTTATAACAGCAAAAGACAACAATATTTCGATTTTATTTCAAAGTGATTATCAAGCTAAGTGACTATTTACAAGCAAGCGTAATCTTAAATAATCACTTTGCTTGATGACTTCCAAATAAAGTCAAAATATTGCTTTAAATCTTGCCTCTTGCCGCTACCACTCAAAGCTTGAATTTACAAGATAATGTTTTTTGGATTTTGTTAGCTCATATATTTTTTTAAATTGTCTAATGGAAAAGATTTTTGGACAAGTCTGGTATGTATCCATAATAATCTGATTTGGAATACTAGATTAACAGTAGTCAAGAGTAAAGTAAATGGTTTGAACCCGGGAGTATCGTTACATGTTTGTAAATGTAGATCGTCCAGGTTGATATAGTCCTGAGAAGGACTGTTTTTGTTGTTGTTGACTGACGTTTCGACAACCTTAGCGGTAGTCATCTTCAGAGTCAAAAGACAGTCAACAACAAAAACAGTCCTTCTCAGGACTATACCAACCTGGACAATCTACATTACAAACAAGTAGTCAAGAGATAACAAATTCTAAAACCCTGGCATCCATGTGCATACAAGAAAAATTCAAACTTCAGACCATGTACAGGGTAAATTTCAGCACATTATCATTAGTAATTTTTTAGAATTGAAATTCATTATTTTGTAGTGAGTGGAAAATGGAAAATTGCAAAGCACAACTAATTTTGCATGTGAAAACTGTAACAATAAACCAAACTAAACTATGTACTTGCTTGCACTTCTTCTTTTCAACAAGAAAACAAAAACCTAAATGACACTCATTGTAAGATGTCTGTCAAAATTTTAGTTATTAAGCTTTAATGTTTGGATGAAATATGTACATCAACAAAACTAAAATAAAAAACCCAAAAGCATAATAATTTCATATCACACTATTCTTTCCGAGAAAAATATTTTTTGCTCATTCTTCAGGAAGAGGAGATTTAACAAAACATTTAGGGAAATATGCTTCAAAAATTAAAAATTCAAGCCAATTAAAACATGAATAGGGCTTTATCAGGCACTCTACCAAAGACATTATTTCTCTACCTTTTAGTAGTTTCCTTATCTTCTCGAACGCCATGATGGGGTAGGAAATAACCGGTTTCATGAGCACCAAGAACTGGGTCAATAATTCCTCCTTTCACTTGATCTTTGATAATTGTATCGTATTCTTGCAATAAGGGATTATCTTTATCGAGACGAGATTTCAACTGGTGTAATCGTTTCAAACACATACCGTAACAGTCTGATTTTGGAATATATTCCCCCTTCCAAGGTAAGTTCACTTCATATCTCCCTTCATCCTCAAGATATTGTATATTCTTCAGAAACTCCTGATCCTGTGATTCGTTGGATTCTTTGATTCCCATTGATTCGATCTCCCAAAACCGTTTCAAGCATTCATGTAATTTGAGTTCTCTCTGTCAAGCGGAAATTCCTTTGAAAAGAGTAATCTTCGATGATTAAATTAACGTTTGAAAATTTCAATTAGCTTCACCATCATTCATCTGTCCAGTGATAATCCAGCCAAATTCACTATTAATCACAACAGGACCACCTTCACTTCTTATAATCTCGCCTGTCATGATATCAAAATAATAATCTGCTCCAATTAGAATGTCAATGTTGCTGTCCGTCTTTCGTCCAGAGAGATATTGGTATCGAAAGCTGCAACTCCATCAGATGAGGATAATGATTGAGATCAATTGTTGTTGTTAACGGAGAGCAAATATTTGGGAAGCAAAGAGCTGTTATGATTCGATTTCCATTCTTTCCTTTCAGGGACAAATGAACCAAGTCGCATTTTTGCTTTGTGAAATGTTGGTTGCCAAAGGTATTTAAGTTAACAACCTCCTTTCTGATGGGAGCTAGTCCAAGCCGGGTTTTTAATGAATTTGTGACATAAGTGCGCTGACTACCGCTGTCCAAAAGCACGCGAACAGGTATAGGAATGGAACCATTCCCACCATTGGCGTATGTAATAGCTGTTTGCAGAAGAGCTTGATTATGCGTTTTTGCCGTATTCGTCGTTAAGTAATTATCTCCATCAATCATAGTAGCTGTGCGAACGTTGTTTCCTTCCTTGCTTTCTGTTGGGTTGTTTCCAGTGGGGGAAAGTTTGGGATCATTTGCATTCTTTTGTTGAGGAGGCGTAAAACTTGACTTAATCACTTCACAAATCGATTGATGATGAGCCCCATGACAACGTCTACATTTCTTCTTTGACTCGCAATTTTTACTGAGATGCCCGATTCGCAGGCATACAAAACAACGATTGTCTCTCCTCAATATACTCTTGCGATCATTCACATCAGTTACTCTATCACACGATGCCGAAAAGTGTGGCTCTTTACAATAAACACATTGAATATGTTTACCTGAAGTATTTTGAGTCGAAAAGGCGTTCACCGTAGGTATTCTGGGTGTTTGGTGCTGACCTCCAGAATATTTTCCATGCTGTGGCTGTGGACTTGATTGCACTCCTTCACTTATCTCCCGTGCCTCGATCTCAGTCTTTATTGTATCCAACAACTCATCAATTTTCCAAACGTCTCCCGACGATTTTCGGGCAATTTGTAGACGAATGTCACTAGGTAATTTAGTCATGATAATCGGGATAAGCATACTACCATATTGTTCAGAAGAAACTCGATAATCCTCGTACATGAACGCATCCTTTATCGTATATGTATCTTACTTGGCTAGTTCTACCGTTGGCACAAGCTTGAATCTTTAAAATTTCATCCATGTGAGCTGCTATGGTTTGCTGGGTTTTCCCGAAGCGATCGTTCAAGATTTTACAGCAGAGTCGTAATTTGCATTAGTTAATGTTAGACCTTTAATGGCCCTCGCTGCGTTTCCCTCGAGAAGCGATTTCAGATAGTTGAATTTGTTTACCTTCGAAATGTTTGGATTACTGTGAATCGCACTATCGTACAGATCCCAAAACGAACTCCACTCCGTAACCTTGCCACCATATTTCGGAAGCTCCAGCTTAGGAAGCTTCGGCATATTTGATTTATATTGAACCGTCGTCGTAGTGTTGTCACTCGTTACATTTCCTTCGTTTACAATTTCGATCGTCGCTTGATTACTTGAACCTTCGATTAAACCATAGTTTTCCGTCGCATTTGCCAAATTTTCGTTAGAATTCTCGATACTTTCGTTTTGGCCAGGGTTTGACATGTTCGTCAAATTCGAGTTCGATATGGTATCGTTGACATTCGTATCAACGAGCCTGTCATTCTTAGCGCATTTAATATACCTTTCGATTTTTCGTTTTATACTCATAACTCTATCCGAAATTTCGGCCGAGTCCTCGATTTCACCTTGTATTTCATTGACATCACACGTGTTCAATATTTCTTCGTCGAGTTCACTTAATATTTTTAGTTTCCTTTCGAGTTGTTGTGCGATGATTTCGCTACGTTCTACAAGGTCCTCATGTGGTGGCTGTGATAACAATTCAACTGACTCTTTCTCGAGTTTTGTACACACTGCGCGATGTCCTTTTCTTCTAGCACGAAGCCTTTCCAATTTTTCCTTGTCTTCAGTCGACATTTTCGTAAGAAACGAATATGGGCGACTTTATTTCGTTAAAGCCGCCCCACGTTGGGCGCCATGTCATGCACGTTGCATGATAAAATCGCTATTTTTTACAACGAAGTCGTCAAAAGAAAAACACTACATAATTCAACAACAACAACCCGAAATCTTTTATTTTAAAACAACAACACCGCCCTTCTGTAATAATCCCAAAGTGTGAATCACGTGAAACGCACGCGCTACGTCACAACAAACAAAATAAAACAACTGTTCATCACAGGAGAACTGTTCATCAACTGTTCATCAACTGTTCATCAACTGAACTGTTCATCAACTGTTCATCAACTGTTCATCACTGTTCATCAAGACATTTCTTTTAATTGGAGTCCTTCAAAGACCTCAACTCTCTTCGTAAGGATTCTGTTTTATACTAAAAAATAGACAATAAGGAGGAACTGTTAAAATTGTTACTCATGTAATAAAATTTTATCTCAGATGTATAGACATGCTATTTAGCTCTTCGCATGCATGTTTTTAAAAGAGCTGTAAGTTTGTGTTAAAACATAGAAGAAACAACTTTTAGGAGTGATTAATTTTTTTTAGTATCTGTAACTAAATGTTACATCAGCTTCTGGAGTATGCTCGCTCCCAAGGAAGTATTTTTACTCAAAATAATCAGATTTTGAATATTTTCCTGACACAAAAAATTGGACTATAAGATTATAAACAAATTACTTTAACTTACACTTAATAAAGCAATAATTGTAAGTAGCAATAGAACAAACACCCCACCACCAGTCCAAATCAACAGCCAAACGTGACGGTGTAGTTTTGATTTAGAATCCAGGTTGCATTGATCAGGTAAAGATGGAGAAGTAACTGCTGTGGTTGTGTGCTCCTACTATTAGGTATAGTAGGAAATCTTGAAGATGGTAATGTTGCCGAAAACTCTGTAAATATGGTTGATGAGAAGAATGAGCTCATCTTTTCGAAAAATTAACATAATGCTTTCCACTTGGCCTGATTGTAGACGCAACTGCTCTCCCCTTTGTGTCGAAAAAAACGAAATTAAATAATGCTAAATGCCTTTTAATTTATACAAGATTTTTAAAAGTTAACGAATCCAATATTTGGCAATGTTAAGTAGACATGAAATGCTACCAAGCATCACAAAAACTATCATTGGAAGAATGCAGTCAGCACAATGCAATCAGCAAGTTTGAATTTTTATGTAAAATTTCATATTGTTAGCTTTATCCGATTTCTTTTCAATTAGACTGCAAAAATTAAATGTGTTAAAATGAAAAAAAACCACGCGTGCTGACTTGCGTGTGTGTTAAAACAACACGAAAAACGCTTCAACATCGATCAACAGTTCTTTTTTCTTCGCAATATGTTTTTTGCATTATAAGCATGTTATACTTTAAACTATGGGCTGAACATTTGCAAAACGCAAAAAAGTAAACTTGAAAAACTTAGTTACCCTTTGTAGAGGCAAAGACACTTGATTGCTGGATTGTCGGTGAGAGGGCCTCAATGGAACCTAGTATAACAAAATTTGCTTGCATAATATTCATTCTAGAATTATTCTAATTCAGGGGCTGGTTTACAAAGCCTGCATAGCGTTATTCAATGGATAGCAAAATATTTCAAACTTGTAGAAATGGTGTTTATATTTTTGTTGCGACAAAAAAATTTAGTAATCTTCGAAACAATATTTTATTTCAGTGATTGAACATTTAAAATTGTATAATTTTCTTTCATAAGAGATTTTTTGAAAGTTTAAAAATATTTGCTATCTAATGCAAAGCTATTCGGCCTTCGTGCAACCGGCCTCTATTGTTTGCATAATACATCATGATTGCCTTCAAATGAACATCATATTTTTGTTAACTTTAACTAATCAAAAATTTGAATTAGCTTATTCTCTCCTCTTTTAGATTGAAATAATTTATTTTTAATAAGCAACTTTTACAACATTATCATGTAATGTAGCTACATTTTAAATATCAGAAAAACCACACGGACTACGGAAGAAAGCCAATGTTGACGATATTCTGATTTGGTAAAAATTCTTTAGAAAATGTTCTAGAAAACTTTTTAACTTACGGACTTATAATTACTTTAAACAATAATTTTCACTGCAAGTAGCAAGCAAAAAAGAATGCACACTACAATTCGACACTGCAAAATGGAATAATTCAAAGAATAGATAAAGATACCGTTTTTAGTAGAAGGCATATCGGTTGAAAACGTTGTTGAAAACCTTGATAAACATGATGTGGGAACTAAAACAAAAGCGTAGGTAAACATAATAAGATTTATTTTGCAATTCTTTTGCTTTGGGAACTTTATGCATACTTTTATAACTGTTTCCTCTAATTATTTTAATATAAAAATGCATCCTGTTGCCATCACATGCAAGGACAAAAAATTGAGTTTTGTGACAGTTCTCACAATGACACGATACTTCAAGCAAGCTCAGGAAACTGTTAGTTAGTTATGAATTTCATATTGAAGAATTAAGCAAATTTGACAACTTAATTTTTCATTTGTTTTGGTGCTTAAACTAATGAGCTGGTGATATTCGCATATTTTATTTTAAAAAGTTCTTAAAGCAATGTTTACGAAAACCTTTTTTTCACGAAATTTATTACCTAAAACAATCATATACATTGCAAGCACAACCAAAAAAATGCACAGTTTAACGGTGAACAACGCTGAAAAAACATTAGAAAGTTACTATTTCTAGAAGTAGAATTTCTGGATAGCTTTATAGTTGAAAATGCTCTCGGCATTTGGTATATCATAACTTTTTGCCCCAATAATTTACATTTAAAGATCATTAAAACGGCAACATGCATAATAAAGATAATGTCTATGCATGAAGAAGTACCTAGCCACAAAACAATGAACCTAATGAATAAAATCAAAGCTTACCAACGATATACACATTGATACTCCTCGAATAGTGTCCCATTGAGCTATGAATGATTAGTGTATATTCCCCATTATAACTGCTGTTCATATTAATTAATTCTAAGGTTAATGGTTTATAAATTTTCAGATGGATTTGATGATGATGATATGAAATTCCGCTGTTATCAAAAATGTCTGCAAGTAATCTACGGGAAGAGGAGCCATAGGCAGTGAACATCCATCTCCGATACATAAAGGGGGAAGAAACTTTATACGACCAAGTAATGTTTATAGTTGTTCCTGGTCGAAATAAAAATGTTTCGTTCTTATTTTCGATTGCTATATTTCCTGTAAATAGAAGAGTATTTTTGCATCAGAAGTCACTGAAGATTCAAAAAAATTAAAATTATATGAGTTATAATACCTTTGCAAACAGAAATAAAAATTGTAAAAAAAACAATTCCAGATGCAGCTTTCATTGTTCTTCCTAAAACGAAATAGTTTTTGCTCAAAATTATATGCAGCATTTTAAGTATCTTTTAAAAAACTTTTGTATAACAATCAAACGAAACTAGCTTAATAGTTTAAAGTTAAATCAAATATTGCCATGATTGAGGGATCTAACGGTCTATATTGCTTGAATGGTTTTGTGTTAAACATCTTATTTGATTTGAATAATTCTGGAAAACCTCTTTTGAACCATTGGACATTTTCAACATTCTGTCAACATATTCTCTTGCTTTTTCATGACGTACTGTGTGCCACAAAAACATTGCACCAAAGTATGGCACATTCTCACCAACACTTGTTCGAATCTTTTCAATCTTGTTTCCAATTCATGTACACTTTCCTTGTCAATTAATTGTGCCTTTTTATGTGCATAGATTAATGCCATCAAACAACACAGGACAACTTCTTCACTTTCTTGGATGGATTCAAATTCTCTAATGGCTTCTGACACACGATCTGCAAGTCAATGTAACAACCATTATGAAGTATTGACAATACAGTATATTTTAATAAATATCATTGGATCATTTTAAATACAAAGAAATAGAGCTTTTAAGCAAGCAAAAGCTAGTTTAGTGATGGATAAGAGACCAACCACTATAAATTGACATAAATTCTGCTGGCAGAATGTAAAGCTTCATATGTGAAATGACAGGAGACAAAATAAAGTGAAAATTTTCTTATTTGAAGGGTGCAGTATACACAGACAGTTTTAAAACAGTCAAAATGCATCAAATGACAAAGTACTAGTAAAAATGGGACAATCAATTACAAGAAAATCTAGAGAAAACCTGTTGCCATGGACTATGCAACGCAACAACTGCAGAATGAGAACGACAATACTCTACATTTTTAACAACAAACCTTCCATCAGTATTCCAAATGCTTTCCAAAATGTCAAAACCGGATCACCTCCGTGCTTCTGCAAACCTTGCAAACACACGTTTTGTAGGTGCGTGTAAAATCTTGCTCGACAATAATAGTTGATACTGCCCTGTTGCCAAGTAAAATATTGCACTTGCTTGAGTCAAAATATAATTTATATTTCTGCAACTAATGTTAGAATTATCTATAAGACGAAACATACCAGTATTAGAGTATCTGTAGATGCCATAGTTATTCGTACGAATTAATAGTACAAGCTAGATTTTTGTGTTATCGTTTTCTGCCATTTGCTGACATCTCTTTATCACTCTGTATTGTTGACTCTCGGCCCAGGCTACTTCTATGTGCGCGTGGTCAATATAAAACTCTATAAATAAATATGGCCGAAGAAACTTCATTAGAGCAAGAAGCATTGAAACGGCGAGAAAAGTTAAAAGCATTGAGGGAGAAGAGTGCTGCTGCTGAGGTATACTATTAATTATAGGTCTTAATTGTTTATTTCAACCGTCAGGTTCATCGTATCATTTTTTGTCAAAGCCAGTTACTGCACTCTCAAAATGACAATCATCAATGTATCTACTCAGCCTATATTCTCAGTATTCTGAAAAGTATGCCTTTTTTTGACGAGGTCTTCAGTTTTGTATGATGGCATTATAGTAAATTGCTTTATACTGCGCAGATACACACAATGCAATCAATAGTACTGATCCATCAGTAATCATGAAATTCAATATAAAATTATAAATGTTGGTTTGGTTACGCAATGAATGAATGAATGAAAATCTTTATTTTGACACGCTGGCCTTGTCAACTGGGGTTGATTTCCACAAGGGGCGTGCTGTTGTTCAAAAACAATAACAAAAATTTACTATTCAATAAATTATCTACAGAAGAGAAGTTTAAATATTTACAGACTTTATTTTATTCCATCAGTTACATGTTAAAACAAACAAACAAACAAACAACATTTGTCTACCGGCAAGTATTAATCCCCGCCAGGGGGGTTGACCGGTCCATGAACTTTTCTACGCCAAACGTCTCTATCTCTCGCCATATCTCTCGTTATACCCATCGCCTTCATATCACTGTTCACAGCATCCATCCATCTCTTTCTCGGTCTACCTCGTTTGCGGACTCAATCAACATTCATATGCAACGTTCTACGAATTTCAGCACTTTCTTCCCTCCTTTCCACATGCCCAAACCACCTCAAACGCTGGCGCCTTACCCAATTCTCGATACACTCAACACCAACTCTTTCTGTAATCTCTTCACTTCGAATCCTATCCATCAACGTTACACCACACATCATCCTAAGCATTCTCCTTTCCGTCGAGGCAAATCTTCTCAGGTCCTCTGCTTTCGGCGCCCAACACTCTGCTCCATATCCCAAAACACTTCTAACACATGCCTTGTACAATTCTCCCTTCTGCTTCAACGAAGTCGACTTTCCGCACAACATTCCCGACAACTCTCTAAAACTCCACCACGCTGCTTGAACTCTGTTCCTCACCGCTTGCTCGCACCCTCCACCATCATTTAACACATCGCCCAGATATTTAAACTCCGATACACCTTCCAAACTCACGTCACCCAGCTCAAACCGTTCAATCGCGACTCGCCCACCACTTCGACACGTCCACTCACTTACCTTGTCAATCACCTGAACATCTTCCATGAACCCCTTACTGCATTTCCCACACATTGTCGAATTCCTCCAACTCTTTCCCACACACACCACATAGCCATTTATCACTGTCCTTCACCTCCACCTGCCTCGAGCATCTCATGCCTTCGTCTTTGCCTCATTCACTTTCAGTCCCTTGACTTCTATTGCCGTTTTCCATTCTTGGTATCATTCCATGACTTTCTGCTTCGACTCCGCCACCAAGACAATATCATCTGCATAACAAACACCACCATCCTTCTTTTCTCCTCACTTCCTCTGTCAGTACATCCATCACACAAGCAAACAGTAACGGCGACAAGACTGAACCTTGATGAACACCAACTTTTACCTCAAAAACACCAGATCTAACACCTTCCTCTTGAACCGGATGTAATCGATCCTATCTGCTTCAGTCCGCGACTTTCTCCACCTTTTAAATGCCAACTTCTTCGCGCCAATCACTTCCTGACCGTTCCATTCCACCATTCCTTCCTTCCTTCCTTCCTCCACCCCACGTCCATCCCTGTCCACCCTCCCATTCAATGTCCTGTCCAAACAGTCCTTCTTTCCTTCACCCTCCTTCCTCTTCACCTTCATTCCATTCCATTCTTTCTTTGTGCTGGGTCCATTCTTTCCTGTCACTTTTGCATCCTTCCGTTCCTCTTCTTCATTCACCAGTATATCCATCACCGTCCTACTGTCACCAGATTCATACGTCACCTTTCTTCCTTCTTTCCATATTCACTACCACCATCCCACAACTCGCTGCTAACTCCAATATAGCCTCGCCTTCAGCATTCATATCACCAACTCCAAAACCTCCATGCGCAGTATCCTTTTCTTACGCTTCCCACATGACCGTTCCAATCACCAAGCATCACACATCGCCCTCTAATGTGCTCTCACTGCATACACGCTGTCATAGAACTTTCCTTCTCCTCACTTCGTCCAACCTGCGGAGCATACACCACAACGAAACTCACAACTTCGGCCTCAATAAGTACATCAACTCTCAGGACTCTGTCCAAACACTCTTCACTGCTACAACCGACTTCAATCCTCTCTTATCCAAAGCCAACACCATTCGTGCCACTTCCGTTCCCCTTCCAACACCACTTAAATCTCGCTCCATTATCTTCACCCTTTATGACTCTCGTACCTTCACCTTTAAACCTTACCTCCTGAAACCCACACACATCAACTTTCCTTCTCTTCAACATGTCCGCCACTTCTGCACTCCTTCCCTTTATTGTCCCAACGTTCACTGTGCCTAACCGAAGGGTGACACTTCCACCAACATTCGATCCGGAGATTCTTCGCACCCCCTGCTCACTGAAGGGCTGCCGGGAACTGGGGGCCATGTCTTCTTTTCCAAAGCTCATGAATTTTGTTGGAGCAAAAGTTTTACGGTAGGATGCCCTTCCTTACACCAACCCCTTTTAGTCGTCTTTTACGACACGCAGAGGATACGTTGGCGCAATTCTAAGCCGGCAACCACGGCTGCCATCTTTGACAGCCCAAGTGAAATATAGTAAATAATTACCAAAGTTCCATGCATTACATAAATCATTGATAATTGCATCAAATAACGTCCCTTTGTTATAACCATTTTGCTGATCGCCTGAAAGATGAATAGCTAAGAGCTGCAGTTTCCAGAGCACAGGTGACCCAGATGATCCACAATTGGTATCCGCGACATAATATACAAAGGGCGGTTCGATATGGATAATTTTTCGTGGCTAAATTGTTTTGGCATTCCCAAGGGATGTTAAAATATAAATACTTGATCATCAATCTTTGCTGGAAGTTTCTCGATGTATTCAATGGGAGAAATCAAAGGTGAAAGTGAAGCAAGTTCATTTTCTTCAATGCCAATAACTGAGTAATCAAGATACTGGCTCGTACGAAAAATTTTGCCTGGTCGCAATTGAACTAGACAACCTTGGTTCTCTCTTTCACAAAGAAAAATTCCGATGGAGCCTTTAGCATCTTCTTCACAGCTCACAACATGGTGATTTGTGATAACACATTTGTATGCAGTGTTGAATATTTTAGCTTTGACATAAAATCCAGATCCTTTTCTCAAAATCTTTTTGCCTGTTTGAAGACATCTCGTTTCGCAGTGTATCATACAAACGGCATTTTTACAATTCGTCAAATTTTCAACGCGCATCAAACCATCTCCTTGGCAGAGAAAACTTCATTGCTTCGCAATTTTTCTCCAATTCATTCATTTTCAGATATATGTCGAAATAATGAGGGACTCAATGACGAATAATT